GGTTGGTTAAAATTTAATAGTTGAAGGACCACAGGTGGTTAAAATATCCGACTTTGGGTTCAATACTGATTTGGCTTGTGTGTCTCCCTCTCACTGTTGCACGTATTCTGATTTTGTATATTGGAGTGTAAATAATGTAATATAGACAAATGGTAGCCTTGTGGAAATATGAAAACGCCCAACGTGGGGCCCGAGAACCCATGACCACAAGGTTAAGAGCCTTGCACTCTACCAACTGAGCTAGACAGGCTGTTAAATTGTTATTTTGTAACAGTGTAATAATATTCTAAATTCCGGCGTTAAGGTGAGGAAAAAGATAATCCGTGATCGATAGGGGAATTGAGCCCGACGTGAAGCGAACACACAACCTTCTGATCCGGAGTCAGACGCGCTACCATTGCGGCACAGATCCGCTGTGAGGTGTAAATTTTAGTGGTATGTTAGTGTGAAAGTTTATTTTCACATCAGATATCGTTTTTAAAGAGTGGGCCAAAAGAAATGTCAAATAGAAAGCAAGTGAAGCATGGACAAGTTTATTAACAAGAAGCAGTTCTTACAAATTAACATAGGGATATAATGGAAGCAATCCAAGTAGCAAGTACTGAAATAATAGAAAAGACTAGGCCAACTCTCGTATAAATTCTATGTGACGTTTAACTCCTGATCATTGAAAGATTTAGCAACGATCACGGAAGAGGTAACAAAGGTGTCAACGATATTCTCAGTCATTGGACTACCCCTTAGCAAAGACCCATATTCTTATGGCAATTCAATTTTAATTGGAGCAATTTATCAAACAAATAACCTACAAATTAATGTCAATCTTCTTCTAATCCCATTTATTCAAAGTGATATCGAAATTGTAAGTAGTGTATCTAACTGCATATGTGTCCTATTTTAATAGCTACACACAATATAATTCCAAAGTTTATCAAGCATAATTGAACCCTAAATGATACAAGAGATCAAAGTATAGCATACATGCAACAAATTTAACCATTGAGTTAATACTATTTTAGGTCATCCGAGTATAGTGGTTTTGTCACGTTTAGTCTTAAGCTTTCTAATTGACCATCTGTTGTCCTTCGACTTTCAAATTTAACCATTCGTGGTCCAAGTTAACCACCCATGCTCCATCAAGTTTTTAAATTTAATTTAACCAGTCGTGATCCTCTTGAAAGGACCATGGTTGGTTAAAATTTAATAGTTGAAGGACCACAGGTGGTTAACTTGGACCACGAATGGTTAAATTCGAAAGTCGAAAAAATACATATTGTCAATTTGAAAGTTTAGGAATAATTAAACGTGGGAAAACCACTATACTCCGAGGACCTCAGATGGTATTAACTCTTAAAACATTTTTTAAAGTTATATATAATGCTTTAATGGTAGTGAAAAGAAAAGTCTAAGTACAAGAGAGCTAAGAGAGTTATTCATGAAAAAGTATTTCCTTTTTGCAATTGAGATGGGATCAAAGGAATATCGGTCAAAACATTCGCAAAAATGTCCGGATATTAGCTCTCCCGAAGAGCTCGATAAATCTAGAAACCATGACTCTATCATGCATTGAAAGGAGAAAATTACAATTGAATGTAATGTGGAAGTCGAAGAGCAATTTGAGTATTCTAAAATTTTTCAAAAGCATAGGAGTGGTTGTGGACCGCCTTGTACTGTCTGTAAAAATTTTTTAAAGTTATATATAATGCTTTAATGGCGGTTTCTTAGTTGGTGTGTCTTTTTTTCTTTGGGTTCAATATTGATTTTGTGTGTGTCTCTCTCTCACTGATTCTGTATATTGGAGTGTAAATAATGTAATATAGACAAATGGTAGCCTAGTGGAAACATGAAAACACCCATCGTGGGGCTCAAACCCACAACCACAAGATTAAGAGCCTTGCGCTCTACCAACTGAGCTAGACGGGCTGTTAAATTGTTATTTTGTAATAGTGTAATAATATTTTAAACTCCGGCGTTATGGTGAGGAAAAAGATAATCCCTGATGGATAGGGGAATTGAACCCGACGTGAATCGAACACGTAACCTTCTGATCTGGAGTCAGACGCACTACCATTGCGCCACAGATCCACTATGAGGTGTAAATTTTAGTGGTATGTTATTGTGAAAGTTTATTTTCACATCAGATATCGTTTTTAAAGAGTCGGCCAAAATAAATGTCAAATATAAAGCAAATGAAGCATGGACAAGTTAATTAACCAGAAGCAGTTCTTACAAATTAACATAGGGATATAATGGAAGCAATCCAAGTAGCAAGTACTGAAATAATAGAAAAGACTAGGCCAACTCTCGTATAAATGCTATGTGATGTTTAACTCCTGATCATTGAAAGATTTAGCAACGATCACGGAAGAGGTAACAAAGGTGTCAATGATATACTCAGTCATTGGACTACCCCTTAGCAAAGACTCAAATTCTTATGGCAATTCAATTTTAATTGGAACAATTTATCAAACAAATAACCTACAAATTAATGTCAATCTTCTTCTAAACCCATTTATTCAAAGTGAGATTGAAATTGTAAGTAGTGTATCTAACTGCATATGTGTCCTATTTTTATAGCTACACACAATATAATTCCAAAGTTTCTCAAGCATAATTGAACCCTAAATGATACAAGAGATCAAATTATATCATACATGCAACAAATTTAACCATTGAGTTAATACTATTTTAGGTCATCCGAGTATAGTGGTTTTGTCACGTTTAGTCTTAAGCTTTCTAATTGACCATCTGTTGTCCTTCGACTTTCAAATTTAACCATTCGTGGTCCAAGTTAACCACCCATGCTCCATCAAGTTTTTAAATTTAATTTAACCAGTCGTGATCCTCTTGAAAGGACCATGGTTGGTTAAAATTTAATAGTTGAAGGACCACAGGTGGTTAACTTGGACCACGAATGGTTAAATTCGAAAGTCGAAAAAATACATATTGTCAATTTGAAAGTTTAGGAATAATTAAACGTGGCAAAACCACTATACTCCGAGGACCTCAGATGGTATTAACTCTTAAAACATTTTTTAAAGTTATATATAATGCTTTAATGGTAGTGAAAAGAAAAGTCTAAGTACAAGAGAGCTAAGAGAGTTATTCATGAAAAAGTATTTCCTTTTTGCAATTGAGATGGGATCAAAGGAATATCGGTCAAAACATTCGCAAAAATGTCCGGATATTAGCTCTCCCGAAGAGCTCGATAAATCTAGAAACCATGACTCTATCATGCATTGAAAGGAGAAAATTACAATTGAATGTAATGTGGAAGTCGAAGAGCAATTTGAGTATTCTAAAATTTTTCAAAAGCATAGGAGTGGTTGTGGACCGCCTTGTACTGTCTGTAAAAAATTTTTAAAGTTATATATAATGCTTTAATGGCGGTTTCTTAGTTGGTGTGTCTTTTTTTCTTTGGGTTCAATATTGATTTTGTGTGTGTCTCTCTCTCTCACTGATTCTGTATATTGGAGTGTAAATATAGACAAATGGTAGCCTAGTGGAAACATGAAAACGCCCATCGTGGGGCTCAAACCCACAACCACAAGATTAAGAGCCTTGCGCTCTACCAACTGAGCTAGACGGGCTGTTAAATTGTTATTTTGTAATAGTGTAATAATATTTTAAACTCCGGCGTTATGGTGAGGAAAAAGATAATCCCTGATGGATAGGGGAATTGAACCCGACGTGAATCGAACACGCAACCTTCTGATCTAGAGTCAGACGCGCTACCATTGCGCCACAGATCCACTGTGAGGTGTAAATTTTAGTGGTATGTTATTGTGAAAGTTTATTTTCACATCAGATATCGTTTTTAAAGAGTCGGCCAAAATAAATGTCAAATATAAAGCAAATGAAGCATGGACAAGTTAATTAACCAGAAGCAGTTCTTACAAATTAACATAGGGATATAATGGAAGCAATCCAAGTAGCAAGTACTGAAATAATAGAAAAGACTAGGCCAACTCTCGTATAAATGCTATGTGATGTTTAACTCCTGATCATTGAAAGATTTAGCAACGATCACGGAAGAGGTAACAAAGGTGTCAATGATATACTCAGTCATTGGACTACCCCTTAGCAAAGACTCAAATTCTTATGGCAATTCAATTTTAATTGGAACAATTTATCAAACAAATAACCTAAAAATTAATGTCAATCTTCTTCTAATCCCATTTATTCAAAGTGAGATTGAAATTGTAAGTAGTGTATCTAACTGCATATGTGTCCTATTTTTATAGCTACACACAATATAATTCCAAAGTTTCTCAAGCATAATTGAACCCTAAATGATACAAGAGATCAAATTATATCCTACATGCAACAAATTTAACCATTGAGTTAATACTATTTTAGGTAGGTCATCCGAGTATAGTGGTTTTGTCACGTTTAGTCTTAAACATTCGAATTGACCATCTGTTGTCCTTCGACTTTCAAATTTAACCATTCGTGGTCCAAGTTAACCACCCATGCTCCATCAAGTTTTTAATTTAATTTAACCAGTTGTGATCCTCTTGAAAGGACCATGGTTGGTTAAAATTTAATAGTTGAAGGACCACAGGTGGTTAACATGGACCTCGAATGGTTAAATTCGAAAATCGAAGAATTTCATATTGTCAATTTGAAAGTTTGGGACTAATTAAAGGTGGCAAAACCACTATACTCCGAGGACCTCAGATGGTATTAACTCTTAAAACATTTTTAAAGTTATATATAACGCTTTAATGGCGGTTTCTTAGTTGGTGTGCCTTTTCGTCTTTGGGTTCAATATTGATTTTGTGTGTGTGTCTCCCTCTCACTGATTCTGTATATTGGAGTGTAAATAATATGAAAACGCCCACCGTGGGGCTCAAACCCACGACCACAAGGTTAAGAGCCATGCGCTCTACCAACTGAGCTAGACGGGCTGTTAAATTGTTATTCTGTAATAGTGTAATAATATTCTAAATTCCGACGTTATTGTGAGGAAAAAGATAATTCGTGATGGATAGGAGAATTGAACCCGACGTGAAGCAAACACACAACCTTCTGATCCGGAGTCAGACGCGCTACCGTTGCGCCACGGATCCGCTGTGAGGTGTAAATTTTAGTGGTATGTTTGTGTGAAAGTTTATTTTCACATCAGATATCGTTTTTAAAGAGTGGGCCAAAGAAAATGTCAAATAGAAAGCAAGTGAAGCATGGACAAGTTAATTAATCAGAAGCAGTTCTTACAAATTAACATAGGGATATAATGGAAGCAATCCAAGTAGCAAGTACTGAAATAATAGAAAAGACTATGCCAACTCTCATATAAATGCTATGTGATGTTTAACTCCTGATTATTGAAAGATTTAGCAACGATCACGGAAGAGGTAACAAAGGTGTCAACGATATTCTCAGTCATTAGACTACCCCTTAGAAAGGCTCATATTCTTATGGCAATTCAATTTTAATTGGAACAATTTATCAAACAAATAACCTACAAATTAATGCCAATCTTATTCTAATCCCATTTATTCAAAGTGAGATTGAAAGTGTAAGTTGTGTATCTAACTGCATATGTGTCCTATTTTTATAGCTACACACAATGTAATTCCAGAGTTTATCAAACATAATTGAACCCTAAATGATACAAGAGATCAAAGTATAGCATACATGCAACAAATTTAACCATTGAGTTAATACTATTTCAGGTCATCCGAGTACAGTGGTTTTGTCACGTTTAGTCTTAAACTTTCGAATTGACCATCTGTTGTACTTCGACTTTCAAATTTAACCATTCGTGGTCCAAGTTAACCACCCATGCTTCGTCAAGTTTTTAAATTTAATTTAACCAGTCATGATCCTCTTGAAAGGACCATGGTTGGTTAACATTTAATAGTTGAAGGTCCACAGGTGGTTAACTTGGACCACGAATGGTTAAATTCGAAAGTCGAAAAATTACATATTGTCAATTTGAAAGTTTAGGAATAATTAAACGTGGCAAAATCACTATACTCCGAGGACCTCAGATGGTATTAACTCTTAAAACATTTTTAAAAGTTATATATAATGCTTTAATGGCGGTTTCTTAGTTGGTGTGTCTTTTTTTCTTTGGGTTCAATATTTATTTTGTGTGTCTCTCTCTCTCACTGATTCTGTATATTGGAGTGTAAATAATGTAATATAGACAAATGGTAGCCTAGTGGAAATATGAAAACGCCCACCGTGGGGCTCTAACCCACGACCACAAGATTAAGAGCCTTGCGCTCAACCAACTGAGCTAGACGGGCTGTTAAATTGTTATTTTGTAATAGTGTAATAATATTCTAAATTCCGGCGTTATGGTGAGGAAAAATATAATCTATAATGGATAGGGGAATTGAACCCGACGTGAATCGAACACGCAACCTTTTGATCTGGAGTCAGACGCGCTACCATTGCGCCACGGATCCGCTTTGAGGTGTAAATTTTAGTGGTATGTTAGTGTGAAAGTTTATTTTCACATCAGATATCGTTTTTAAAGAGTGGGCCAAAGGAAATGTCAAATAGAAAGCAAGTGAAGCATGGACAAGTAAATTAATCAGAAGCAGTTCTTACAAATTAACATAGGGATATAATGGAAGCAATCCAAGTAGCAAGTACTGAAATAATAGAAAACACTAGGCCAACTCTCGTATAAATGCTATGTGATGTTTAACTCCTGATTATTGAAAGATTTAGCAACGATCACGGAAGAGGTAACAAAGGTGTCAATGATATTCTCAGTCTTTGGACTACCCCTTAGCAAAGACTCATATTCTTATGGCAATTCCATTTTAATTGGAACAATTTATCAAACAAATAACCTACAAATTAATGTGAATCTTCTTCCAATCACATTTATTCAAAGTGAGATTGAAATTGTAAGTAGTGTATCTAATTGCATATGTGTCCTATTTTTATAGCTACACACAATATAATTCCAAAGTTTCTCAAGCATAATTGAACCCTAAATGATACAAGAGATCAAATTATATCATACATGCAACAAATTTAACCATTGAGTTAATACTATTTTAGGTCATCCGAGTATAGTAGTTTTGTCACGTTTAGTCTTAAACTTTCGAATTGACCATCTGTTGTCCTTCGACTTTCAAATTTAACCATTCGTGGTCCAAGTTAACCACCCATGCTCCATCAAGTTTTTAATTTCATTTAACCAGTCGTGATCCTCTTGAAAGGACCATGGTTGGATAAAATTTAATAGTTGAAGGACTATAGGTGGTTAACTTGGACCACGAATGGTTAAATTCGAAAGTCGGAAAATTACATATTGTCAATTTGAAAGTTTAGGAATAATTAAACGTGGCAAAACCACTATACTCCAAGGACCTCAGATGGTATAAACTCTTAAAACATTTTTTAAAGTTATATATAATGCTTTAATGGCGGTTTCTTAGTTGGTGTGTCTTTTTTTCTTTGGGTTCAATATTGATTTTGTGTGTGTCTCTCTCTCACTGATTCTGTATATTGGAGTGTAAATAATGTAATATAGACAAATGGTAGCCTAGTGGTAATATGAAAACGCCCACCGTGGGGCTCAAACCCACGACCACAAGATTAAGAGCCTTGCGCCTTACCAACTGAGCTAGACGGGCTGTTAAATTGTTATTTTGTAATAGTGTAATAATATTCTAAATTCCGGCGTTATGGTGAGGAAAAAGATAATCCGTGATGGATAGGGGAATTGAACCCGACGTGAAGCGAACACACAACCTTCTGATCCGGAGTCAGACGCGGTACCATTGCGCCACAGATCCGCTGTGAGGTGTAAATTTTAGTGGTATGTTAGTGTGAAAGTTTATTTTCACATCAGATATCGTTTTTAAAGAGCGGGCCAAAAGAAATGTCAAATAGAAAGCAAGTGAAGCGTGGACAAGTTGATTAACCAGAAGCAGTTCTTACAAATTAACATACGGATATAATGGAAGCAATCCAAGTAGCAAGTACTGAAATAATAGAAAAGACTAGGCCAACTCTCGTATAAATGCTTTGTGATGTTTAACTCCTGATCATTGAAAGATTTAGCAACGATCACGGAAGAGGTAACAAAGGTGTCAACGATATTCTCAGTCATTGAACTACCCCTTAGCAAAGACTCATATTCTTATGGGAATTCAATTTTAATTGGAACAATTTATCAAACAAATAACCTAAAAATTAATGTCAATCTTCTTCTAATCCCATTTATTCAAAGTGAGATTGAAATTGTAAGTAGTGTATCTAACTGCATATGTGTCCTATTTTTATAGCTACACACAATATAATTCCAAAGTTTCTCAAGCATAATTGAACCCTAAATGATACAAGAGATCAAATTATATCATACATGCAACAAATTTAACCATTGAGTTAATACTATTTTAGGTCATCCGAGTATAGTGGTTTTGTCACGTTTAGTCTTAAAGTTTCGAATCGACCATCTGTTGTCCTTCGACTTTCAAATTTAACCATTCGTGGTCCAAGTTAACCACCCATGCTCCATCAAGTTTTTAATTTAATTTAACCAGTCGTGATCCTCTTGAAAGGACCATGGTTTGTTAAAATTTAATAGTTGAAGGACTACAGGTGGTTAACTTGGACCACGAATGGTTAAATTCGAAAGTCGGAAAATTACATATTGTCAATTTGAAAGTTTAGGAATAATTAAACGTGGCAAAACCACTATACTCCGAGGACCTCAGATGGTATAAACTCTTAAAACATTTTTTAAAGTTATATATAACTTGCTTTAATGGCGGTTTCTTAGTTGGTGTGTCTTTTTTTCTTTGGGTTCAATATTGATTTTGTGTGTGTCTCTCTCTCACTGATTCTGTATATTGGAGTGTAATTAATGTAATATAGACAAATGGTAGCCTAGTGGAAATATGAAAACGCCCACCTTGGGGCTCAAACCCACGACCACAAGATTAAGAGCCTTGCGCTCTACCAACTGAGCTAGACGGGCTGTTAAATTGTTATTTTGTAATAGTGTAATAATATTCTAAATTCTGGCGTTATGGTGAGGAAAAAGATAATCCGTGGGGAATTGAACCCGACGTGAATCGAACACGCAACCTTCTGATCTGGAGTCAAACGCGCTACCATTGCGCCACAGATCCGCTGTGAGGTGTAAATTTTAGTGGTATGTTAGTGTGAAAGTTTATTTTCACATCAGATATCGTTTTTAAAGAGCGGGCTAAAAGAAATGTCAAATAGAAAGCAAGTGAAGCATGGACAAGTTAATTAACCAGAAGCAGTTCTTACAAATTAACATAGGGATATAATGGAAGCATTCCAAGTAGCAAGTACTGAAATAATAGAAAAGACTAGGCGAACACTCGTATAAATGCTATGTGATGTTTAACTCCTGATCATTGAAAGATTTAGCAACGATCACGGAAGAGGTAACAAAGGTGTCAATGATATACTCAGTCATTGGACTACCCCTTAGCAAAGGCTCATATTCTTATGGCAATTCAATTTTAATTGGAACAATTTAGCAAACAAATAACCTAAAAATTAATGTCAATCTTCTTCTAATCCCATTTATTCAAAGTGAGATTGAAATTGTAAGTAGTGTATCTAACTGCATATGTGTCCTATTTTTATAGCTACACACAATATAATTCCAAAGTTTCTCAAGCATAATTAAACCCTAAATGATACAAGAGATCAAATTATATCATACATGCAACAAATTTAACCATTGCGTTAATACTATTTTAGGTCATCCGAGTATAGTGGTTTTGTCACGTTTAGTCTTAAACTTTCGAATTAACCATCTGTTGTCCTTCGACTTTCAAATTTAACCATTCGTGGTCCAAGTTAACCACCAATGCTCCATCAAGTTTTTAAATTTAATTTAACCAGTCGTGATCCTCTTGAAAGGACCATGGTTGGTTAAAATTTAATAGTTGAAGGACCACAGGTGGTTAACATGGACCTCGAATGGTTAAATTCGAAAGTCGAAGAATTACATATTGTCAATTTGAAAGTTTGGGACTAATTAAAGGTGGCAAAAGCATTATACTCCGAGGACCTCAGATGGTATTAAGTCTTAAAACATTTTTAAAGTTATATATAACGCTTTAATGGCGGTTTCTTAGTTGGTTCGCCTTTTTTTCTTTGGGTTCAATATTGATTTTGTGTGTGTGTCTCCCTCTCACTGATTCTGTATATTGGAGTGTAAATAATGTAATATACACAAATGGTAGCCTAGTGGAACTATACTCCGAGGACCTCAGATGGTATAAACTCCTAAAACATTTTTAAAGTTATATATAACGTTTTAATGGCGGTTTCTTAGTTGGTGTGCCTTTTTTTCTTTGGGTTCAATATTGATTTTGTGTGTGTGTCTCCCTCTCACTGATTCTGTATATTGGAGTCTAAATAATATAATATAGACAAATGGTAGCCTAGTGGAAATATGAAAATGCCCACCGTGGGGCTCAAACCCATGACCACAAGGTTAAGAGCCTTGCGCTCTACCAATTGAGCTAAACGGGCCGTTAAATTGTTATTTTTAATAGTGTAATAATATTCTAAATTCCAGCGTTATTGTGAGGAAAAAAGATAATCCATAATGGATAGGAGAATTAAACCCGACGTGAAGCGAACACACAACCTTCTGATCCGGAGTCAGACACGCTACCATTGCGCCACGGATCCGATATGAGGTGTAAATTTTAGTGGTATGTTTGTGTGAAAGTTTATTTTCACATCAGATATCGTTTTTAAAGAGTGGGCCAAAGGAAATGTCAAATAGAAAGCAAGTGAAGCATGGACAAGTTATTTAATCAGAAGTAGTTCTTACAAATTAACATAGGGATATAATGGAAGCAATCCAAGTAGCAAGTACTGAAATAATAGAAAAGACTAGGCCAACTCTCGTATAAATGCTATGTGATGTTTAACTCCTGATCATTGAAAGATTTAGCAACGATCACGGAAGAGGTAACAAAGGTGTCAATGATATTCTCAGTCATTGGACTACCCCTTAGCAAAGACTCATATTCTTATGGCAATTCAATTTTAATTGGAACAATTTATCAAACAAATAACCTACAAATTAATATCAATCTTCTTCTAATCCCATTTATTCAAAGTGAGATTGAAATTGTAAGTAGTGTATCTAACTGCATATGTGTCCTATTTTTATAGCTACACACAATATAATTCCAAAGTTTCTCAAGCATAATTGAACCCTAAATGATACAAGAGATCAAAGTATAGCATACATGCAACAAATTTAACCATTGAGTTAATACTATTTTAGGTCATACGAGTATAGTGGTTTTGTCACGTTTAGTCTTAAACTTTCGAATTGACCATCTGTTGTCCTTCGACTTTCAAATTTAACCATTCGTGGTCCAAGTTAACCACCAATGCTCCATCAAGTTTTTAAATTTAATTTAACCAGTCGTGATCCTCTTGAAAGGACCATGGTTGGTTAAAATTTAATAGTTGAAGGACCACAGGTGGTTAACATGGACCTCGAATGGTTAAATTCGAAAGTTGAAGAATCACATATTGTCTATTTGAAAGTCTCGGACTAATTAAACGTTGCAAAACCACTATACTCCGAGGACCTCAGATGGTATTAACTCTTAAAACATTTTTTAAAGTTATATATAATGCTTTAATGGCGGTTTCTTAGTTGGTGTTTCTTTTTTTCTTTTGGTTCAATATTGATTTTGTGTGTGTGTCTCCCTCTCACTGATTCTGATTCTGTATATTGGAGTGTAAATAATGTAATATAGACAAATGGTAGCCTAGTGGAAATATGAAAACGCCCACCGTATATCGGAGTGTAAATAATGTAATATAGACAAATGATAGCCTAGTGGAAATATGAAAACGCCCACCGTGGGGCTAAAAACCACGACCACAAGGTTAAGAGCCTTGCGCTCTACTAACTGAGCTAGACGGGCAGTTAAATTGTTATTTTGTAATAGTTTAATTATATTCTAAATTCCGGCGTTATGGTGAGGAAAAATATAATTCGTGATAGATAGGGGAATTGAACCCGACGTGAATTGAACACGCAACCTTCTAATCTGGAGTCAGACGCGCTACCATTGCGCCACGAATCCGCTGTGAGGTGTAAATTTTAGTGGCATGTTTGTGTGAAAGTTTATTTTCACATCAGATATCATTTTTAAAGAGTGGGCCAAAAGAAATGTCAAATAGAAAGCAAGTGAAGCATGGACAAGTTAATTAATCAGAAGCAGTTCTTACAAATTAACGTAGGGATATAATGGAAGCAATCCAAGTAGCAAGTACTGAAATAATAGAAAAGACTAGGCCAACTCGAGTATTAATGCTATGTGATGTTTAACTCGTGATCATTGAAAGATTTATCAACGATCACGGAAGAGGTAACAAAGGTGTCAATGATATTCTCTGTCATTGGACTACCGATTAGCAAAGACTCAAATTCTTATGGCATTTCAATTTCAATTGGAACAATTTATCAAACAAATAACCTACAAATTAATGTGAATCTTCTTCCAATCCCATTTGTTCAAAGTGAGATTGAAATTGTAAGTAGTGTATGTAATTGCATGTGTGTCCTATTTTTATAGCTACACACAATATAATTCCAAAGTTTCTCTAGCATAATTGAACCCTAAATGATACATGAGATCAAAGTATAGCATACTTGCAACAAATTTAACCATTGAGTTAATACTATTTGAGGTCATCCGAGTATAGTGGTTTTGACACTTTTAGTCTTAAAATTTCGAATTGACCATCTGTGGTCCTTCGAATTTCAAATTTAACCATTCGTGGTCCAAGTTAACCACCCATGCTCCTTCAAGTTTTTAAATTTAATTTAACCAGTCGTGATACTCTTGAAAGGACCATGGTTTGTAAAAATTTAATAGTTGATGGACCACAAGTGGTTAACTTGGACCACGAATGGTTAAATTTGAAAGTCAAGGAATCACATATTGTCAATTTGAAATTTTAGGACTAAATAAACGTGGCAAAACCACTATACTCCAAGGACCTCATATGGTATTAACTCTTAAAACATTTTTTCAAGTTATATATTGTAATTTTGCATTTCCTTATTTTACGTAAATTATTAGAAAAAGTTTGCTGACTTAGAATACTGATTAATTCAGTTAAGCACCTACTTAGTAATGATAGATCATGAAGAGAACATCAGAGAAAAATAAACAAACACACTGAACGAACACTCACAATGTTTACCCAGTTCGATTCGGTGTGTATCTACGTCTGGGGGACGATCACAAAGGTAGATATACAATATTCTTACCCAAGTGCCCCACACAAGGTACATACCCAGTCTACACAGGTCTAGTGGATTGTTGAAGATGGAGAGCCATGCATACAGAAGTCCAATGAAATCCCTTCACTTGGAGAACCAGCTCTGATGCAGTCCACTTCAGTGACGCTCTATAAGGTTGTTCCCACAACAGTGTGATCTTAGTGTCCTTTCGTTTAAGCAGCAGTAAATCTTCTCAAGTTCATCATCTTAATCACCATGAACATGTTGTATTGAGAAGGTGCATGACCATCAAAGATCTAGACTCATCAAACTGATATGGAGTGTTTCTTCTACTTATTTGGCGTAACCCTAGTTCCCTTAAAGAACTGGTACTTATAGATCCTTCTATAAAAACTCTCCATAAAAGATCTTTGATTGTAGAAGGTAGGACTATAAAAGAGGAATATAATCTCAGCTGATTAGGTCCATTACCTTCATTGAAGATACGCTGATCGTCTTTCCATACTGAGCTGATAAAACCGCGTAAGACTCTTAAGGAAACAGCTTTCCTAAATCAGATCTTCAGTGTCAATTCTTCTGTCGTTGCTTCTGCTTGATCAGTAAACTGTAGACCCAACCGGACAGACTTTAAACCTATCTTAGTATGCCATAATAATATTGCCAATTATAATATGGGGTTTTTGAACATAAAAACACTAACAAACTCCCCCTTTGGCTATTATTTGGCAAAACAACTCAACTATATAAAATGAACTAAGATAGGTTATTAAAAGAAGCAACCCAAGTGTCCAAACTGATTACATAGGATAAAAAGAACATAAGATCCAAAGCAGTCTAAAAACAAAAAGAAAACGACATCAAAACATAACGCCCAGCCAGGGCCAGAAAGTACTCGATCACAAAAACTCCCCCTGAGTTACTACTCCCCCTTTTTGCCAATGGTAGCCAAAGATTAAGAATTTGAGGAAGAGTCACAGTCAGACTTCACGGGATCCTCAGCAGCAGCAGCAGTATCAGACAGGCTCATGCGGAGAAGAACAGTAGCTAGCTCAGTGCGCGCACCAGACAGTTGCTTGGCAATGATACCGTGCACCGTCTCAAGATCATCAACTCGCGCCTTCAATTGTTCGGAAAGCCTCTCATCTTTAGCATGTGGAGAGTCATCATTCACAGCATCAGGTTCCGAATTAGATGGGGCAGTCACAGGAACGACATCATTAATATGATCTCCAGAAAGAAGACGTTTATCAACAGTGTATAGCAGCGTCGGACTGATCACTTCGCTGGGCATAGGCTTAAGACCCTGAGAGGTAGGATGCCAAAAATCAGATTTGGAAACGGTAGTCTTACCTTCTGTTCCCGGGGATGAACCAGAGTTAGAACATGATAAAAAATCCATTTGCCCATATCACACTGCATCTTAGTTCCAATTCTAAATAAGAACCCTGCCAGAAGCTTGCCAACCGTGTTGAAATGCGCTGATGGAAGCAAGTTGTGCAGAGCCAGGTGATGTAGGATGACATATCCAGACGTGAGATGCGAGCTCAGCAAATAGTCCTTATCTCCCGTAGGCCAAGATGTAGTATGTCCACCAGTAAGAGTTTTGGCCACCACATCCCATTCAGTAATAGCTTCTTCTTGCACTGTAGGCAAGCCATAGTATTTTTTTATCACATCTGGCCCAAAATCATACCACTTCCCTCTGATGAAGATTTGCATCGGTCGTGGCCCTGTGAGACTGTCAATCTCATCACTGAGATTGCAATAGAACTCATATGTGAGCAGCTTGGAGTAAGGGCAAACATCTGTAACAATTTTCAAAAGACCAACTTCATTCAGCAAGGGCAAGATGTCGCAAACGGAGTTCAGTTGATTCTTATCCACAGTTCTTTGAACAATCAGCTCTCTTCTGACCATAGTGGCCCATTTTGTTTGTGCAGCAGGAGATATAAACTGAGGTTTGTAAACAGTAGTACCAATTCCTTCAATAGGTGGAACCTCCGGAGTTACACTTCGACCTCTTGACCTTGTGGTAGGTTTCCCTTTTCTGACAGAGGGGGCTGGTGCAGAAGAAGCTTGAGCAGCAGTAGTGTAACACCCCAGATTTTTAAGACTTTTTAAAGCTGATAATAAAGGTAGAATCTTATTAAATCCCAGACTATAATACAAGTGTTCGGGGTGCTATGCCACACCTAGGCTAGAGAACCCAGATGCACAGGCTAACTAACTAATATCCTCAAAAGCATAAATGTATAAACATGGCACGCAGGCCGAAAGGGAAACTATCTATTTCTACACTCCGAGTTCTAGCGCGCTCCAGTGACATAATCTTCTGTGCCTGAAAGCCAAATATATCTGTTCAGCGAGAGATGCTGGTAACCCACTCCAACGCGTTGAAATACAATACATATAGAGGTATATATAGATATACGAAAACCATTTTGAGCATGAAGATATATCCTACGAACTCTAGCTTTAAAACCGGGAATGACTCGACAGATAAGGCTAGACACAATCAACAGTTATAACAAGCATATGTAGTTCACAACAGATAAGGCAGATAAGGCAAGGCATAAACAATAATCATAACTCAACATAAACAATCCCCAACATAAATCCCTTAGTCACATCCCCCAATATACCCATGAACACAACTCCTCCATATCTCATCACATAGCACACTTTGTTGGCGCCACAGGACCAATCACATGCCCATACATGAAGGTCAGCGCATATAGCTCTGTCATGGCCCCGCAGCACCCTGCCCCGTCTCACATTACGGAGGAGCCGATCGCAACCGACTGATGGACCTTTGTCCTACATAATATTTATATACCTGACCGGTCTTTACCAGCCTGGTTAACAGTTGGGATGGTTCTCAGCCCATTCAACTGCCCGTATAGTGGACCTTTGTCCTATATAATATTTATATACCTGACCGGTCTCTACCAGCCTGGTTAACAGCCGGTATGGTTCTCAGCCCATCCGACCACCCGTATAGTGGAACTTAGTCCTATATAATATTTATATACCTGACCGGTCTCTACCAGCCTGGTTAACAGCCGGTATAGTTCTCAGCCCACCCGACTGCCCGTATAGCCCGATTGATCTTAACCAACTCGGGGTTACATGCACACATAACACATAGCAAGTACATGCAACCCACATTAACACATTGGGGAGGGGGAGAAAACATATAACAAAACCTATGCGTGATCCATCACATACTAAGAATAGTCCTAAGGGGTTCATACTTCTTCCTCCTAGGTCAACGGGATACCAATTCAACTAGCATGCAATATAATAGACTCATAAACCTACGAACGGTACCCGAAATATCAAACTAGACAAAGGCACGATTAACGGAGTCCGTCGGGACACCACGGGGGACGGGGAAACATAAAACGGGGAGCCGAGATCCCGAGGGGGATGATTTTCCAGCGGGTAGCCGGTGGGTGGGAGGCCACCCGCCGGCTGCCCGCCGGGTATTATTGTTCCGGGCAGCGGGTCGCCGGCGGGCAGCTGCCCGCCCACCGGCCGCTCGCTGCCGGAGATGTGTTTTCCGGCCGTGGGTAGGTGGCGGGTCCCCTACCCCTCACTGACTCCTATCACACAATTTCGCCCCGGGATCCATTGTGGAACCCGAAACCATGCTTAGACACTTTACAACGCAATTAACGACAACACGTAGACAATTAACGGATCAAATACGAGGAACGAACGGCATATAACCTATCATGCTTTTCTAAACATAATCAACACCCAAACATGCGATTACCCCACCCAATAACCCAAGAATAACATCATACGATACAACCTACGGTCCTAATCAGTTTTATATCAACAAGAATACGATTCGCCTTCTAATTGCAAGATTCGGTAAGAATAACACGTAAGCATCAAGGGCATCATACAATTATCAAGAACAACACATAACCATCAAGAACTCCATATAATCACCAAGGACATCATAATTATCAAGAATCTCCCAATATCAAGATTATCAAGATCCCTTATGGGATCATCACATCAATCATCAATAATAATCATCACAAGTCATTAATACACAATAATATGGGGAAACCCTAAGGGGGAATCATAACTATGAAAATAGGTTTTGTTGAGACATGGGTTACCTCTTAGCCTTAATTAATTCCTTGGCTATGAAGGATCTTTCTTTAAGCTTTCTTGCTTTCTTGATGTGTCCTAGGGGAATTCTTGGAACTCTTTGGATGGTGAGAGATTATTGTGGTGGGAATTCTAGGTGCCTCCTAAGTTCCCTATTTATATATTTAAGACTCCTAATTAGGGCCTGAATGGTATGGGTTTACTAATTCTATTCCTTATAGGACTAGGGACTTGTTTTAGGGATAAGGGTCCATGGTCCACATTGGACCATATTAATTAAAGCGGATCCTAATCATAATCTGGATAGTAAAAGGCCTACTTCCTTTATTCCTAATAGATAACTAGGTCTAGGATTCCTAATTAGGATCTGAATGGTAAAAGGTTTACTTTCTTTATTCCTAATAGGCTTAAGCCTCTAATTTAGGCAAGGGTCCACGGTTCATGGTGGACCCTATTAATTAATTAAAGGGGAAACCTAACATAATTAAATCATATTTAATTATTATTAGCGGGATTAATTAAATAATTAATCCAGGATTGAAGGCCGTAACACGGGGTGTTACACTCTCCCCCCCTTACGAGAAGCTTCGTCCCCGAAGCTTAGAAATCATTGTAGGGTTAACGAGTCAAGAGTAGAACGGTGGTCCTATAGAGAAGGTATTCTATGGGGAAACTGTATAGTTGTATATCTATGTGTGTTGGGTTTTTGGGAACGATTAGGCTTACAAGACTAAGAGAGTGGGTTTCAACTTGAGGACAAATTGAATTCAATAATTAGGATCAAGGTTTTCGAGGTCGCAACTTAGGTTGTGAGGTTGTCGCCTTGTGCGAAGTCGTTAAAACATGGAATCAAGAATGGGGTTTGAAGGGTAGAAAGGGTTTTGAAATAAGGACGGGGCCGATTTTCCGAGGAAGGGAAAGGAATTCGGCTAGGATGGGTTAAGGGTTCTTGATCTCAAGTGAATAATCTGGTTTGATGTTTTGATCACGATGCGTCGACGAGCCGTTGATCCTCCTGCCTCGGTGTTGGCGCTTGCTTGACTTTAAGATCCTTGTTAGACCTTGCTTCCCAGGCTAAGGTTTCATCCTTCTCTTCTATCTTGAGGGAGTTTCCCGTAGTGATTTAACACTTACCTCTTTAATGCGTCCAAGGTCTTGGCCAAGTTGGGTCGACCAAGCCAATCTTTTAGGGCGCACTTCCCAAATTCTTCCCAAAGTCTCTTGTGAGTCGCTAGACTTTGGGTTGAATTTCTCTCCATATTTGAATTTCATCTCCTCGTTAGTGGATGAAGTTCTTAGTAAGACTTCATGTCTTCCCCGAGGTTCGGCTTGTGGTGCCCTTTTTGTGTAACTTTTAATGATGAAGGTGTCCTTGCATGCTATTTTCCTTCTTGAAGCGCAGTAGGTTACCTAATCTCGTTGTGGGATGACTCGGTGTCTTTACGAGTCATCTCGTTTCCTTGTGGGTCCTTAATGACTCTTGAGGTCTTGGCACAAATGTGTTCTTTACCTTTTTGCTTAGCACCATGGACTACGTAGTTCTTGGTTCCTATACAACTTGTAAGGAGTCCTCTGATTTGCTTGAACGATATCCATGGTTTGGAGGACCCCCGGTCCATCCTTAGCATTTTGACTTTTAAGGTCTTCGTGGGTTCTTGGCACGAGTTCCCAACTCGCCTCCTTGGTTTGCGCAATCCTTTACGCCAAACATCCCAAGTCGGTTGTATCGTAGAATCCAACTTCAATTACTCGTGTAATGCAATTGATTGGGATTTTCCGATGGTGCCTCGTGCGTAGGACACTATGTTTGGGTGGCCCATGGTTCCTCACCCAAGACTCATTTTCATCAATCGAGGCACGCAAGTGCGCCAAAAATCAATAAAATGAGGGGTTAAGAAATCAGCACATTGTACCAGTGGGCGCGAGGTGGGCGGTTGTCCGCCTGCCAAGCTCCTGCCAAGGACCCGTCAAGGACCCGTTGGGGACCTGCGGGAAAATGACTAGGAAGAGTCAATTCCCTCGGGAAAGGCCCCAAAAAGGCACCGATTCTTGTGCTCACAAGTCCCATGCCCTTGTGCACTAAAAGGGGCTTGAATACATAGGATGACCCATCGTACAACGTTTATTGATCCTTAAGCACGAGTTCTAGATGAGTCAAGACTCTTGTATGTTCGTTCCGCTTAGTAGGTCGGGTCCGGTTTCTAATCAGCAACCTCGTCATCTTCACCGGGTAGTTTGGTTATAAACCAACTTCGTCTTTTCCTTGCTTGATTAAGGGTAAGCTCTCTTGGATCTTCTTGGAGTTCGGCTTGTCGCCCGCTCTTTGTTCAATCCTTTGGTGACCGAGTGCTCGGTGATGCATTTCCCTTCCTTGGGATGCATTTGATTGACTGCCCTTGACGTCGCACGGTGTATTGGCGACTTTGCGTGTCTCATGTACTTCTCACGGTGCCTTAAAACCATCAAGGTCCTTGTTCCAAGGTAAGATCCTTATTGCTGGGAGGTTCTAGTTGTATGATACTTTCCATGTGTTCGTTGCCTCTTCTTGTCATATCGAGCCTCTTTCGGTGATTCGTGCCAATGATTAGGAAAGGGTTTCGTTGACGTACTACCTTACTTCCTTGCATTCTAATTGGCGTTCCCAGTCTCCGGGCTGGGATAGTTGCGCCCATTCGTGACTAGTTCCGAAAGGGTTCGCTCATGCTGGAGGGAGCGGCTTTCCACTTCTGTTACTTCTTCTTTCGGGTTTGTTCCTGGATTCCGCGTTTGGAGTAGTTGGATTCGGTAGA